GAGAACCAGATGGAAAATGGGCTTGACCGCATCCGAGATTATGACTTTCACCCGAGAGAAGAAAACTTTTTTTGCATGGACTTGATAAGATACTTGGGATTCATCGTTGTTCAACACGGTCGAAGATCAGACTCCGCTAACATTTAGGCCGTTCGGAAAATGCACCCACCACACAATGTGACGAAGCTACGAGCCTTCTTTGGATTGGTGAGTCACTACAGTGCCTTTTTGCCAATAATGCAGGATATACGTGGTCTGCTGAACGCATTACTTCTCAAGGATTCCAAGTGGTGTTGGAGTACGAAATGCAGTCAAGCTTTTGACAGGATCAAAGCCTTGCTGTCATCAGACCTGCTGTTGACCTATTACGATCCGAACTTGGATATCATTGTTGCTATAGATGTGTCTAATTACTGAGTCGGCACAGTTGTATCACATCGCTTTCCTGACGGAACTGAGAAGGCAATCGCTCATGCTGCCCGATGGTTGACGCCCGCGGAACGCAACTACAGTTAAATTGAAAATGAGGCATTGGCGATCATCTACGCGCTTAACAAATTTCACAAAATGCTTTATGGCCGTCATTTTACTCTGGTCACGGATCACAAGCCCCTACTTGCTGTCTTTGGGTTCAAGAAGGGCATTTTCTTGTACTCATCAAATCGCTTTCAGAAGTGAGTCACAATGCTTTTGGGATATGCTTTCGAAATCAAGTACCAATCGACTGGGAACATTGGTCAGACCAATGCTTTATCACGCATCATGAACAAAGATCCACAAGAACCAGAGGACGTTGTAGTGGCAAGCGTCTCGATCGAGCCTGAAGTTCGTTGCGTTGTCGCAGATGCAATTAAAGCCATTCCAGTAACAACTTCTCAGATATGTGTCGCAACTTCACACGACCCCCTGCTCCAGCAAGTGATCCGCTTCCACAGATCAAATGGCCAAAGAAGATTGAAGACGATGAACCGAAACAGTTTCATCAACGTCGTAATTCCCTGTCAATTGTCGACGGCTATCTACTTTTTACAGAAGGAGTAATGGTTCCAAAGGAACTTCAGCTGAGAGTTCTGAAGCAGTTCCACACCAGACTCCTGGGAATAAACAATATGAAGGCGTTGGCCAGAAGTTACTTATACTGGTCTCATTTGGATGCTCAAGTCGAAGAGCTTGCCAGCTCTTACTCCAAACGCATACTTGCTTCGAAGTCGCCAAGGAAAACAGAGCTACATTGTTGGCTGCATCCTGGGAAACCATGGTCGAAGTTCGATGCCGATTATGCTGGACCTATTACTGGAAACAATTTTTAAAAAATCCTGGTTGACGCCTACATTAAGTGGCCAGAGGTATTGCACATGCCATTGACTACTGCTTCAGCGACCATTACTGCACTTCGTAAGGTTTTCAGTCGCTTCGGGTATCCGGACACATTAGTGATTGACAACAATACTCAAATCACTTTAGCAATTTTTGAGGATTTCTGCAAGAAACCGACGTAACTCACCTGGGGTCACCTCCATACCATCCACAGTCGATCGGCCTAGCAGAGCGATTCGTGGATACCTTCAAGAGAATATTACTGAAGGCGAAGGGGGAGGGACCAACGGCCGGGATCTTTGAGACTTTGCCTACAGCGTAACTCCATATCTACAGGTGCCTCAAGGTAAATCACCGGCTGAAGCGCTGATGCAACGGAAACTGCGATCCAGCCTTGATTTGCTTAAACCTCCTGACAGGAACAGCCTGAATCGAAACTGCAAAATAGAACAGTACTTCAACAGGCGACACGGTGTTCAGAATCGAGTTTTCTTTAAAGGGCAACCTGTGCTGGCGAAGCATTACCACAACAACCAGGTTACCTGGACTCTAGTACGTATCATTCGTTGAACTGGAAGTGTCACATATTACGTTGCCGTTAATTCCGCCAATCCGTTACACTGCCGTTCCTTTCCGGATACATCATCAACACGCAGTATGTTACCGTTAGACTTGCTCCTCGACAAATTCCGTATCAGCCCAGAAGACTCCAAACCCGAACAGTAGACTTCACTTCCTACATCTTGACCGAAATTAGCACCAAGAAGATGGACAGATCGATGCCGGAAGTCAGTGATTCCGATGCAGGTAAACCCCAAGCTGAAATCTTATGCGATTCATTCAAAAGGGGTGTATGTTAGGGGACGCAGACCCTAACGAAATCGATCGGATAGAATGTTCAGCACCCCGGCTCGATGATGATTCGCTTGTCCCATGGCCGTGACCTTGCTTTAACCAATAAGTTCTACGCATTTACAATGTTAAGGTCATTGTGTAGGACTTTATGAACTAATAAAATCGTTTCCTATGTACCTCTTTTTGTTTTCTCGCAAGAGTGTTCCCTCCTGACGTCTTTCGACTTCTGTTCTGAGTTGAAGGTCTGGGCTTTGGACGTCGGCACTTCGCGATACATAGAAGGCCACAGCCTTTCCATTTTATTTGCGTTGCACATTCGCTATTCACTACTGGTGACATTGTTAGCCTGGCAGCGTCATTAACCAGATCCTAATTTTACCGCCGTTTATGCCATCTTAACATTCGATATTCCGTATTCCATTAGACTAGCATAAAAGCTAGCCGTCCTGTCGCCTCGGTTAGTGGACATCCAGAACTTTTTGACTGCCACTGTATCCTACTTTGCCCTGGCTGCAAAGCCCCCATGCAGCGTAATAGTCGGTGGACAACCAGCTCCCACTTTTTCTACATACTTTATTACCCCTGTCTTACGATAATATCCATTCATTTCGCCAGACTAACTGAAGCAGCTCCTGTCAGAAATATCGCCTCATGTAAATGAACATTGATTCTTCTTTTTCCCTTCACATTTGGTTTACTGTAGTCTCTTACTACGTGGTTGTGATATGCGCATCCAGCCACCTACGAGGTATTTGCTTTTCATTGCAGCTCCCCAGGTCTATTCCGACCTACATACACGCTGGACCCGGAAGCCCACGGAATCCACGACCAGACCCATGGTACACTTCTTTAAGGTTTACTTTCAGAGGACAGTTTCGGAACACTGTTTACAAGTGCCATGCAAAAAATTTGACTCCTCACATTTCTATTGATCCAAATAATTTTGGATCACCGTTTTCCCCACACTACGTCGTCCCGTTCTCGGTTACTTCCTTAACGTCCTCTATCTTTTTTCATCTTCAGCCTCTATTTTTCTTTTATTTTTGGGCTTTTTATCCGTCTTGCACGTTATTCTATCCAATTCCTGTTTCTGCTGACTGCCCTGCAGGTAACAGCTCGTCCGTCTCACGTTTTGATTCCTGATTCACAATGTCTTTGAAATCGCCATGTCTGATTCATTGAGTACCGGCGTTAATGTGTCTTCCGTTGTGTTGACCAGCGAATCTAATGCTGTGTGATCTACACAAAGCCCGTGACGAACGCGTCTGGGAGCATGCAGTGCTATGTAACTGATACTATCATAAGACCTGTGCTCTCGACTAGCGATAGCATGCTGTTCACTTACCTTGTATGCCGTGGCACTGGGCTACATAGAGTCCGTTTTATAGAGTGAGGAGCCACCATCTCTCCAACCTCTCCAACTTCAAGGCAGTTACGTTTCGCAACAGACACGTTGCTATGTATGTAATCGGCAGTGGCCGAAAGTGGTACAGGCTACGGAGATTGAGAAAGTAATCATGAGAAATAAAGTCGTCAATGGATGACGATACCTTGGATTCAAGTACGCATAGTGCAAACAGTCAAGGCACTATAATTGTAGAGAGAACGGTGTATGTAGACAGAGAGCATCTCATTCTTTTATGTGTCAAGAAAACATTGAAATATGACTCTAGTCGACTTGCCAGTATGTAGTTGTTGGCAGTGACTTTATTCAGTGGCGAGTCACATCCGCCACGTCGCAGTGTTGTTAAACGGACATTTGTGGCTTTTTATAAGGTGAACGCTTGCCAGGCGAAAACCCACTACAAAAGTGGAAGTGGATGCTAAATGGGTGTTTTTTCACATACCGTTTTGTCTTTGTCACTGTGATAGCCGCGATGTGGATCAGTCAAATCAAGACATATTCAAAATATTTTTTTATTGAACCTGTCTGCGCGCCATCTCCTCAAAGGTTCACGGTCATCGCTATTCCTCATTCTTGGATTCTCAGCCAAGAAGATGCAAGAGACCAGCGATAGGTAAACTAGCAATGAGCGATTTTACGTTTTATAGCTTAAGAGAGGCGTCAGCAGTTTACTGGTACCTTGTGACTATGTTCCACCGTCACTAGTGGCGCGCACCTACTCCGATTCGAACCGATAACATTTGGAGCACAACGCAGGCATTTTATCCTTCTGGCCACTGGTCGACGCTTTGTGGTTCTATCGCCACTGTGCGATCTATTCCATTGCGGTTCTGTTTGAGCTGGTCAAGCTTGATGTAATAGCCGTTTGCACAACCTGCACAGGAGGTGACCAAGACATTCCAGTTGACGCAGCGATACAGGCCTGTTGGATGAGATGACTGATCTCGTCGTTGCCAAGACTGTCCCCACCACACACCGACCATCGACGGCTCATACCTGTCTTCTATTGACGACTCTGTAGGCACTGTAACGTAACATTCTGCGTAGGCTTATGAATCAGACATTCCGGCTTTGTCTGAATTTGCACGATGTGCACTTTTTCTACACATTGATTGCTCTTTTTCGATATGGTGTGATGGCTAGCAAATGTGCTACCTTAAATCCACAAGTCTGACTACTTTAAATCCCCTTCATCATTTTTCACATTCAAAGCCAATGTGGCCAGTGTTGACACGACAGCTCATGTCCTTTTATGTTCCTTTTGATTATTGCCCACAAACCACTAGAACACATTTGTTTGACTTGTCGCTCTACTTCACACACATCAGTTTCTGTACAGCGATTAACTACCTTACAAACGGTTTACTTGGATAAAACCTGATACGTGCATTTTACTGTCATCGAACTGCTTTTTTGCATTCCAGCATCTGGCTTTCTTTCATCCGTACACTGTCACTGCTCTTGTCGATCCATCAGCGCCATCTAGAATATCTCTCTGGGGGAATCCTCTTACCCACCATTTTCTACGGGGAACTTGACCATTTTTGTGTTCACACTCATTGTTCTCTTTCAGTAAGCTTCTTCCACACTTTCTTGTGAATTGATTCATGCGTTAATCTAGCACGTATTGTCTACGTCACTCTCGGACCAATTCTACTTGGACGGATGTGATGTGTTGCCTACCTAGTCGGCAACTTGAATCTGCTGTTGCTTCCATATTTCTACGTACCTCTTAATTTCGTTACCACCCTAACCGGTGCTCTCACGCTACGAGATCCGACAGCACTGCGTTCATGCACCGCATTTATGAGTTCACGTAAGTGTATGATCAATTTTATTCACCTCCCTCCCTAATTTTAGCACTATCCAAACTTGAACTACTTCCTCAATTGGTGTTGCGCCTCCTGTTGTTCCTCTATGTGATCTGTCTCTTTGCCGCACAAGTCTGGGTTGTTTTGCCAGCTCTGTTTGTCGATCAGTTGCACGCATATGCACTTTATCTAGCTGTTGGTGTGTATATTCTCATAGGTTTTCTGTTCAACGCTGTCAAATTAGTCCTTACTAGTCCCAGTATCAAGGGATTAATGCTGGTTAGCAAAGCCGGTCCCGACTGGACATACTGTGTGAATTGTCAAAGCGTGAGACCCCCAAGAACACGTCATTGTCACATTTGTGACATCTGCATACTGAGGCGAGATCACCATTGTGTGTTGTTGGGTAAGTTTTATCCCTTTACTGTCCTACTTTCCTCCTGTCGACATTCATCATATTACCTTTGCAGGCACGCTTTTTGATACCGTTTTATCTGATTAAATGTTGCCCGCTGCGAATTTGATCATTTTCGTGCACTGTAGACTAGATCGGCTTTCAGATCCACCACTTTGGTGGAATTTGTATACCCACGAGTGGGGTCATTGATTTCCAGAGGTCTAGCGAATCATTTGCGTGTTTCCTACGACCTTGATTCTTACATGCAATTTTCCCCTGGTTGTACAGTGAGATCAGCACTAAGTCCACACACGAGTTCTATTTTGGTTTTGTTTGCTACTCAGTATTTCCTCGATGCCTCCGAATCGATCGTTTTAATATCCAACTTCATCTACTAACTGTAATGCGATGCTAGATTCAACACTATCACTTTGATCATTGTCTTAATTGCTCACGCACTGCCACCCAAAAAGTTTTCCTTCCTCTATATCGTGCTATGCACGTTTGTTGCTTATATCAACTCTTACCTACCAGGTTTTAGTCATCCCAATTCTCATCATCATCAACAGCAGTACATCCGCCATTTGAATTGATGCTTCGTTGCCATACAATCATAACTACCTCTGATACGAAGAATAATAAGCTGGAGATAAGGGGTACCTACCGTAAACACTTAATGCCTGAACAAACATTCAGGATCAAGGAGCCTACACCGTATCAACAACATACCATGATAAACAGCTGACTGTTGTGTAAAGATAAGGCGGCATCGGCGGGACAGCTTCCTTGTAGTTTTCACTGTCTCGCGTTATAATCACCCATTACCCTGCAGATAACTCCGTGTCAGATACACTTCAAACAGACAGTCCGACTAGGAGACGGCACCAGACGCGCCACTGGTTTCGCTTGCGAGCCATGTCCTGTAGCGTCTCGAGCCAAACACAAAGCAAATCACGTGGATTCCAGCCCGGAAGGCGAGACGGACCGACGGCACCGTGTCTGGTCGTCACTGACTACATTTCCCGCTGCTCACTTAATTATTGCCCACCTCGGACCTTCCGGTACCCTACATCTGGCAAACAAAGCAATGCCCTCTTCGGTAAGCGGTGATCAGGCCTACGTCAAGCGTTGATCAGCCATATGTCAACCCAATTCTGCGGATGGAAAGTTCTGGTGACTTAAGCGCTGCATTTAAAGGTGCCGTGAAAAGTTGCCTATAAACTGTTACGTTAGTATGCTCCGGCTTTCCGCGGCAACCCTGTCTGTTGAGCGGAGCTTATACATCCCTATCAACAAGCACTCTGGTGATGTACCAGAAGGCTTGCCAAAAACCAACTGGCGAATCCCATCATTGCTCACTCGGTGCTCTCACCAATACTCCGCAAACACCGGTGGTCAAACACAGGTAAACGTTTAGTGTCTTCGTCGCGAACTAGCCAGGTCTCTGATCCATACAGTAAAACCGGCCTTACCGCGGTATCATACACCCTACCTTTCATTGACAAGCTGATACCCCGCCGTCTCCCTAGACGGTCGACCCTCTGGAAATCCACATGGACCTTGCTGATACTCGAAGTAACTTCCTTAGTGATGTGACCACCAGAAGTGACACAGCTCCCAAGGTAAGTGAACCAATCCAGCGCTTCCAGTGGGTGTTCGGAAACGCTAAAACCGGTGGTGTATCGGCCAAATCCTTCAACAGCACTTTGCACTGTGAAGGTGCAAACTACCGACCGAAGCGTGCAGCGCTACGCAGAAGTCTGTGCAGTAGTGTTTGCATAGCCAATGCATCAGACCCAAGAAGTACTATGTCATCCGCATACTCCAGACTTGTCGGTCGGTCATCTTGCAGAGTTTGAATGGACCGAGTCATTCAGGATCACTTCGATCGCAAAGTTGAAGAGGAAAGGAGATATGACTCAACCGTGGCAAACCCCACTTGTCGTGCAGTACTCGGGAGACGGTTTCCCCCTAGATCCTTACACGGCTTCGGGAGTCACAGTAGAGACTGCATAATGGGAAGGAAATTAGCCTGCACGCCCTTCATGGATACGCTGTGCTACAGGCTGGCACGGTCAACAGAGTCGAAGGCGGCTTCCAAGTCATGGAAGACAACTAAAGTCTGTCGTCTGTATGTGTGTCTACTCCAACACTAGATAAAGAACAAATATTTGGCCGATGCAACGACGAGCAAGGTGGAAGTCAGTGTAGATCCGGAAAGTCGCCGGATAATGATACCTATGAGAAGTTTGGAGGCAATGGAAACACATCTAATGCCTCGATGATATTCACACAAAATACACTGACACTTCTTAATGATGGGCGCATCAGTCGCGAGTCTGAAGGCATCACTTCAGTGTTCAAACTCCTGTTAAATAGAGTATGGATTCCAGTCAACAAAGAGTCACCACCATCTTTCATCAATGATCGAAGAAGGTCGTCGGGTGCGGGAACCTTGTTTCGTTTCAACACGGAAAGCTCATGTCATATCTCTTCCAAACTCCGAGGTGTGACAAATACTTCCCGCATCGATTCGGGCGATTCGGCAAGTGACAGTGTCGCAAGAGGCCTGCTTAACTGCTCTTCCAAATGTTCCGCACAACAGGCCAATTGAGGACGCCGAAAATGGATCAACTGTCTATCTTTCTCAGCTGTTACCTCTTTAACTGAACGCTTTCTCGGATCCATATTCCGGATGAGCTGTACTTGCACTCGACTGTTTCCAATAGCGCTTGCTTTCTCCGTCTCAAAGGCCTTTGCCATTCACCAACGTTCCCGGTCGATTCGAAAACTCCCTGTCAAACGTCGTTCAGGGAGTTATGGGCATGCTTAATCTCAGTGCCCATTGGAACCTGTTTCTCTGCTTCGGCCAAGCTGATCGCTGTCTCAGAGATTCATACGCAGTTACCATGTCACAAGTTGGGTGCACAGCATGCATCGAAAGCATTCTTCATGGCACATTTGAAATGATCCCAGTCAGCATTCGGTTCACCAACCTCGTCGCTGACATTTGGTGGGCCAGTTCGTCATGGTATTGTGGAATTACAGATTGCTAATTCAAGTTACAGGTAAGAAGATTAGAAGATTACCGCTCCCTTGAGTGCCAAGCGTGCGCACACTAGAGACACGTACTCCAAATTGACCAACAGTCTTGGACTGATGTGCGCCATCTGTAGCGGATGGCAATATATTCAATTTTGGGTCCAGGTTATTGAGGAATTTGATTGGCGCTAGGTGACGCGGTGTGAACGTTTGTACTGAAAAGCAGTGCTGCTAAGGTGAGGTTGTGGTCGGTGCACAGTTGCAGGAATCGATCACCATTGCCTTTTTGGCGTGAATGGACTTCGAACCGGCCCCCCAGGTGTTGTTCAGAGTCTAAAACACGACCCACTTTGGCATTCATGTCACCAGCAACAATCAAGCTGTCAGTGTTCTTCATTATGCGAAGAATAGCTGGGAGCACTTGATATAAATGGTCTTTGATACTGCATTCAGTAGGGGTATAAACTGAGGCACCTTGTTTTCAGGCGCAGCTTATTAATTCCAACAAAGGCTCGAAGTCGAACCGGGTACATGTGACTGTTCACGGGTATCTATACGAACAGATTGCCTTCGGCGTTTTTGCTGAGGACAATACCAACACCGTGGAATCAGTGTCACTAGAGAAGCGAACAGTATGACCATCGTCGCCGGAATCAGAACCAGGGAGTCGAAGACTTGTCACAACACTGTTATCTTGTATGGGTATTTCGGAGGCACAGCAGTCATTAATACCAAGAGAGTGAAGAGTGAGTCGGTGCTACCTGCTGGCCGATGTGGCCTAGGGTGCGAAGTTTAAAGTACAAATGCAACTGAAACTCTAGGTTTGATGGAAGAGTTACAAGTATCGATGGCAGCAGATGTGAGGTCATCGGCCGTCTTGTTCAGTAGACGAGGAAAAAGAGTGGGGATAGGAAAGAGAAGAAAAGAGAGTATTGTTGACTTGTTCGAGAGGGCAGATGATACTCTCCGGCTGCTCATTCCGAGAGAGGAGTTTGTTCGAAGTACCCTGCCTCTAGCCCTTCACACAACAGTCTGCCCCACAAGGCAGTGGGGGATTTGAAGGTTTGCTTGAGGGCCTCCACCCGGAGCTTTTGGCTCAATAACCTGACCCACACGGCAATGGAGAGCAAGTTCGTCAAGTGTGATTGCAGAGACAGATTGGGGTCTGCTTGAGGCCTGTCACATACAACATTTGGTGGTTTAAGATAGTGCACACGTGTTTTACCACCGTGTTATGTTACGCACCTGCGACGACGACCAGGTGGGCGTTAGTGGGTTTGCATCAATTTGACTAGGGCTGTGTGGCTTGACGCGAGTGGTAGCAAACCATTGAGCACTGGAATGTGCCCTCCTACCGCCAAAGACAGTGCGTGGCGCTCGTACTCTACGCCAATCGAGCTGTAGGTTCATAACCCATTTATCTGTTATTTTCCATGGCAGGTTTTAAAGGAAGAGGACCATGGACCTCTCCCTCACCTCCGAGGAGGATCCGATTTTGCGATTGTGTTAGTCTGTCCCTTAACCATTGACCTGCCTGGAATGAGTGACTCTGAAAGCACTTGGAATTTGCCACTTGGCACAGCTAAATGGGTCACGGGGGTAAACAAACCATGGCACCACGCTGACGTTTAGTCTCATTGCGCTGAACTTGCACTTATAATCAAAATGAAGAGTCTGAGTTATCCTGATATCATACAAATTTGCCCTTGTTCATTTCCAGTTCTACCTTAATAAGGCATTTTCTGATTTGAGTCTATAGTCGGAAGGCTGAGTGTCCGATGCTGCTGATTGAGACGTTACCAGTCGCCTAATTAACAGAACAGGTCCGTAACAACTATTGGAAGCGGTATGTTAATAAAATGAAGCTTCTGCGCCATGTAATAGTATATATTTTGGTTTCTGCCGCTTATTCTTGGCTACTTTTTCTTCATTTCCTGCTGCTCTAGTTGAGTCCGCAACCAGACGCC